TGCTGAACATCAACTAGTGTAATTCTTCAGAAAGAGTGCACGTACAGTTGCGTTTGCTGCATTTTTAAAGGGCTATCAGCTCTCCTTGACAGTGAGTGCAACAATTGAAAGTTACATCTTCGTATCTTGTATAGGGGTGAAACCTTCCAATTATATTTTTTGTGGAAAGGAAGGAAGATGGAGAAACTTCTGTTGATGTTTCTGTACGTGCAGCTGGATCCAGTACACGTAGCACCTAAGGATGGAAAAATTGAGACTGAAAAGCTGTCTATCAAGTTTAATGGGTTTTATCCTTCTCTAACAGCTAGGAAGGGTTTCTGCTCAAAAGCAATTTTCCAGTTTTTTACCAAGTTGAAAACGAAACATCCATCTATCCAGCCCCTCACTATAAAAGCACTACGTACTGTTTATAAATCAGTAATGTCCATCAGAAATCCAAGTTATGATTTTACTGAGAACAACAACAACAAAAAATTTCTAATCTTTTTAGCAGAGTTGAGCAAAACCAGGCAAGATCACTAGGCACTGTAAGCCTCCTGCTGTTCAACTATTACTCAGTTGCTTCCAGACTTAACTGTTAGTCTAAGTTTGCTATTTAAACAACAAGCTTCCTGTAGTGGAACCTTATCTTGAAAGATAATCATATAGCTGCTCTCTGTGTTTCCATCCACTTTCAACAGAACCAATTTCTAGGGCAACAGAAACTACTGCTTAAGTGTTATAACATTCCTACCTGAATTTTTTCTCCTACTCAGTTGAGTTTAAAAACTAAGTATTTTCAATTGACTTCCTCCTGACACACTGACTCCAAAACAAATTTTGACCCAGTCATTTGTGGTGCTAGGGACAGAGAGGGAAACAGTATGTATCATCATATTATTTATGTTGTTCTGCTTATTCTTCCAGCTTTGGTTTGTTGGTTTTGTGTGAGGTTTGTTTGTTTTGGGGGTGGGTAGGTGGGCAGTGTGTGTGTCTTTTTAACTGAGGGAAACAGACAGCTCTATTCAGAATGTCTCCCCTGCATATAGTTTTTTTTTTTTTTAAAAAAGGCAAGATATTAAGTAGTTAACACAAAGCAAGGCATTTCTTTCTGCAAAGAAGACTCCGTGCTGACAGACTGAGATGTATGAAGAATTCTTACCATTTCAGCCATTTTCTCAGCAGGGGTATTGCAAAATTCCTCAGATGTTGAAGCCTTTTTTGGACTGTTAGTGCCAACATTTCCAAGAAGATGCGAGCTTACAGCTTTGGCTAGCTTACAATTCACAGCTGCTAGCTCTGTTGTAGTGTAAGGCTGGGCACTAGGGTAGTATGTCTGTTGTCTCCCCCATTGAAGAGAAACCATCAGCTCCTCCAGCAGCCTGTGCAGAAAGGAAAAAAAGCACTATTAGTGTTTTTTGTACTCTATACTAGCAGGACACAGCATACTTCAGAGGAATTGTCCCTTCAAGATTTACTGCACAAGTTAAATGTTAACCAAAAAAGAAAAACAAAGTGTTTAAAAACAAGGAGGCAAACAGGCTATTCTCCAAGGCAAGGCCTCACCAACACAGTATTTTAATACTGGTAAAACTTACTTGACATCTGGCAGGATAAGCACTAAAAAGTCAATGCAGGTAAAATAATCTCTATCGTTTAGAAGGAGACAGAGGAGACTTGAAGTCAAGACGGTAAGTGATTAAATAGAGAAAGCCTGAGGATATGAGGGATGTCAGTTCTACAGTATATTACCCCTAAGACCTCAGAAATCATACCTTGGATTTCTGATGGACATTACTAATTTATAAACCTCTAGGGAATGAAGAAAGAATTAATGCTACTTTGGCTCTTCCAGCTCTGAGACTGAAAAGTGACCATACTACTCATCAGCATAATTGATTTTTGTTGAATATCACTAGAACAGGGGAAAGTCATTTGATTCTTCTCTGGCCTAGAATAAACTGACAGAAATGAAGTTCGCACAGAGGCAGTCTGGATTAGAAAAATCATACTTCTGTGTTTCAATCATCTCTTGACGGAACTGATCGCGTTCATTCAACAAGTCCTGGATTGCACTTTGTGCGTCCCTGGTTTGACGCTGAAGAATTGCTCTGGTATTGGTTAGCTCATCAGCCATGACCCTGCAAAAGAGATCTCCAATCAGTAGTGTAAGTGAGCAGTCTGAAAGTTACCTTTATTCTGCTACAGACCATAATTTCTCAGCTCCAGACAAGGATTAAGCTGCTGTTTTCACTCCCCTCCCCCACACAAAGCCTATATCAACCTAATTACAAAGGACACGTATTAAGACTAATTTCTGTTCCACTAGTCAACACAGTGCAAGATTATGTTTTGACTTGCTGTGTTTAAGCCATCTTACGTCACTTAATACAAATCTAGCAACAGATGTTTCAAAATACCCTGGGTAAGTGAATATGGTGGGCAAGGATCCTGAAAGATAAAAAGCTAAATAGACTTTGTTTTACTAACACGGTTCTCACAAGTATGCTGTAATCACATCTTTTCATACTCATCTCTGAAGACGACAGCTATGGCTACAGACTGCATTCATTCACCTCTTTGCCTTTCTCAGGGGCAATAACTAGACATTACATGCACCAGATGCGAGCGTTTAAGAGCTACAAATGAGACAAATGTTGTCACATTTCACCATGCCACAAGGCTTGGCACTGACCCCTCAAGCAGGTATTTCAAATGCCTGTGATACCGCAAATGCAAAAACCACACTGACGTTTAAACGACCACCAGCTAGAAATTCCAGATCTCAATGAACCAGAATGTTCCAATATCGAAGGGTGTTACTCTAAGCATGTCGCCAGGGACTCGCATCCCTGATCTCAGAACCCCTACTAATGCTAAAGAAACAAGTTCAGTTAGTAACTCTTGTTAAGATAGTTACTCTTGCCTAGCTAGGACTATCACAAGTACTTACCATTCACTCAATACGCTGAAACTTCTTAAGATCAGCAAATTAAAGGGAAGAGACTGCATTCTATTACCATTTCCTTCAAGCAGTAAGGTCTTTTGTAATACACATTAAGCATCATAATTAAAATTTAGTCCTAAACCACTATTTACAGATCTGGTAAGACAACTACACTTAGCAAGTTAAAAGTCTAATCCACTGTCAAATGAGATTTTGACATTCATACTTCTGTAACCATAAAAGCTGGTAACAGTAGGGTTCTTAGCAGTAACACAATCAGAGTTTAATGAAGAGGTCCCCCCACTCTTTCTTCCATATTGAGCTGCTCTTCCCAGTAGATCCCCGCATCACCGTAAGCAGAGTTCTTAACTAAATCTTCTTCACAAACTGATCATTGTATCATACTGGGGGGTGGAGATGAAAATCAAGCTAATTACCTTTAAGACAAGTCAAGACAGCTGTCCTGGGAGACATTTTTAATCCTTAAACTGCACAGAGTCTATCACAATTAAGAACTTCTCTTGCTATGTTGACAAGAACTGTAGTTAAGATTTTAGGAGGTTTAGGACCTACCGTATTACCTTTGAAAAGCGGAACTATTCACGTTTACAAGGAGCTTACTTTCTTTGTACCTTTTCTGTATACTCAAATTCCGCTTATACACGCTGTCCTCTGTGTATAAGCGTGTTGCCAGGCATCGCAATGGGTGTACGTGATAAAAGACTGAAGGAGAATGCTGTTGTAACAACTCTGTAAGAGAGAATACCTGCTTGCTAGGAATTTGCTTCGCCACACATCACATTGTATAGACATGCGCTCTAATTGTTCAGACAACTGAGACAGATTCCGGCCCAGGGCTTCATTTTCCAGGATTAGCTGATTTTTCTCACGAGCCATCCGTTCAAAGTGATACTGCAGATCATCCCCAACAGAAGCAACAAGTAATTTCTTCAGCTCCCGATTAACCTAGAATTAGAACAGACTGTCTTGTAATTATCAATATAGAATGAAACCCCTCCTGCTTCCAGAATGCAGTGCAACTTATTGCAAATTGCTAAGAATAAGTTGCATCTTTCCAGAATGGGACGCATCCAATGCGGAGTATATTAAGCCTCACAATCCACTCTAGTGAGCATAAACATTTGAAAGTAGTGCACATTTAACATTCTTGTTTAAATTCTAACAGAGGCCAAAGAGGAAGAATGAAAGGCTGCTACAAGAAACAAAGAAAGTTTCAGTAGTATTTGTCCTGAATCGGTAAGATAACAAAGGATTAGGCAAAACATCCACAGGTTATATTATGTAGAAAATTATAGTCACTCCTTCTACGGCATAACATTTTTCACCTAGCGGTTGAGCCGAGGAGCAAAATCTTTCCTCATGAAAGATCCATCTCCCTGCAGCCCTCTAATGTATTTCTCCTAGCTTCAAGCCTTTGATTCTTTCATCTGTTGTCAGAGAAGCAGCACTGGATTACTTAGATGTACTTCTACTCTGTATCTTAGCTGATAAGTTGAAAAGGGAAACGATTTGTTTCAAGGCTAGAGCATCATAGCAGTTCTCTTTGGTCACATTCACAAAGCAGCTCAGTTGTGCGAGAGAAAAGACCTTTCATTTCTTACCTCTGTCTGTATATGCAGCTGATTAGAGAGACCTTCTTTATCCTGTAACAACCGCTTTTCTGAATTCTTTAGCTTTTCGATTGCATTTTTCAGCTCGATCTGTTCTTTCTTGGGATCTGCGGCTCCATCTGACTGATGGAATGCGTCTCCTTTATGTCCCACTGATTTAGCTACCTTAGCATTTTTACTTGGAACAACATGGGTGATAGCTGCTTTGGGGACTAATATACGAATAGCTTCAACCTCCACTGATTTATCAGCAGGTACTTTCCCTAGCTGCAGCACTCCGGGACTTGGGGAAGAGACTGCCTTTTTATGTGGGCTGTGGGGGATGTGATGGTTCGTAGTGTTGGCTCCAGTGACTACTTCCACAGATTCAGCCGTCTGCTCTGTTTCCATGCCATCTCCAGGTCCTCGGATGGGTGATGAGGCATCATCAACTAAAATTTAGAAATAGCAGAGGGAAAGTTTACCACCTTTTATTTTGTTACAGTCTCACTGTAACTCTTCACTTAATTTCCGTACTACAAAGTTACAGATTTTAATTGCACACTGCATGTGTAAAATAGTCCTTTGCAGCTGCAATGATCAAACACAAGTTAGAAAAGACCTCACTCAAGTGTGTACTGCTCATTAATACTAGTAGTACATGACACAAACATTGATCTGAATTGTATTAATTTCCTGCTGCCATACAAGATTAAATGCAGACACAAAAAAGAACCAGCATGGAGAAAATTCTTGACAGTATTACTCATAGGCTGAAGGCAAAATCAGGTTTTGGGAGCTACCAGAATCACAGCAGCCTCATTTTAAAAGCAAGAATTAAATGAAAAGCAGCTTTCAGCTACATAGCTACTAACATCTTAAGTTTAGCAGACTTTTAAGTACTATCTACCATGTGTTTTAGTTGTCCAGGTGAAGGTTTAAGAAAAGCCAACAAGGCAGTTCAGCTTCATTTCTAATCAACAGACCCCACTATTTCCCATAACACTGCATTCTGCTCTGAATTCCCCAATATGCATGATAACGTTCACTGAAATCCATTTTATTTAAGTTCACTAAGTTTTCAGCTGAATGAAATACTATTGTACTAAAGTTTCCACACAATGGGTGAAAGCAAGGAAGTTCTCAGAACATAGCTACGCATATTGCTTTTTTCCTCATACTGCAAGCAGTAACGTGAGCCTGTGTCCTCTGTCCAAATCATGAATTTCAAAAATGCTGTGGTAACACCATTATATTGCCCTACTTTCAAGTTGGCTGAATCATTACCAACAGGTTCTACACACTACAGGAGAACTGTACAGATAGATGACAGTACCAGTGACAAACTTGTTTTTCAATGCAGAGCTGGATTAGAAAACTATATTCAATTAACTGTTCCATCCAGGCAGCTCTGGTTTTCACTGCAATAATGAATTCACATAACTACTTCCTAATAGCTACATAAAAGGATTAAGTTTAAACAAATGGAGCCTGGTGTACAGTGTAACTCTGGTCTTTAGCATTCAAGTTAAAAAGTACTTTTAATTCAGTCTGCTTAGATATCATGTGAACCACCCACCTTTTTCTAGGGATGTCATTTTCTCTTTAGCAGTCAGCTCTTCCTAACTACGTAAGTCTGCGGAGAAAATGAGGAGGGGAAAAGAAAAAAAACAACAACACACCTTTAGCAAGGTAACAGTGGCAGCTAATCTTGTATTACCCTATCTTCTAGTACAACCTCTAAACTCCAGTTCAGGAGCACAGTGAAAAAAAAAAAAACACACACCCTAAAACAAAGGAAAAAACCCAAAATGTTAAAAACCACACGAGGACCCAAAAAGTTAAAAGGAAAAAGCCTACGAGACTTCTGGCACTTGTTTCTTTTTTTACAAAGAGCAGGACTTCAACTCCTATCTCTTGCTTCTCATCCAGTTCCAGTTTCCATTCCTCAAATTTCCCTTTCCAGTCTCCCTCTTTTTCCAGTGAGCCCTCATCTTACCTTTTAAAATTCTGTAACACTCCCAGAATACAACTGCATGACCATGCAGAGATAACCTAAGACCATCAACCACAAGAAAGGGAAGTCCCACACCGTGCTTAAAGCAGACCAAGAGGTGAGGATGAAACGATGGCAACCGCACAGCTGCACAATTGCTTTAGTCCCACTTGCTAATACGACTTTTTTGATAGAGCCAGTCCCAGCCAAAGCAGGAGTCAGAGCCCCGAGTGGCTGCATGTGCTTAGTTTAACCTAACAGTAAAACTTCACCCTCAGTTTGGCTCAAACTGCCATCCTCTCCCTTAGCCACCAACACTATTGACCATTGCCTCCTTTATCCACAGGTCCATCCACTCATCCCCTTTTTCTAGGGTCTGTCACTAACCACAGTGGTTTGAGATCAGTATATACCTGTTCTGTTTTTTTTTCTTTCAGTTCTCCCTGTTAGTCAAGGGAGATCTCCCAAAGCCCTTGCTTCCTTTCATTATTACTTAACTACAACTTTTTTGACTTCCATTACTACAGCTCTCTGCCCTAAAAGAGATAATGGTAGCAGTGAGCACACTACTTCCAGATTTCTTGATTCATGATTCATTTCATGGAAGACAGGTTTATCTTTTGTGATGACCAGAAGACAAAAGAAACACCTTTCTCTCCTTCAGCTTTCTCAAGCTATAGATACAAGAACATCTTGCTATCTGTTGCTTCTACAGTTGGAGTTATGGTTTTGCTCATTTAATACCACGACGTGTTATTCACCACCATTTATTTCTGATTGAGGATCTCTATTCATTTGAGGAGAATGAGAAGGATGAAAGTGTAGCTGCTGGGAAAGAGCCAAGAATACTCAATAAAAGACTGATGATGAGCATTTGCCCTCATCCATTCATCTGAGACCACCTGCTGATGATCCTGCTCCTTCACCGTTCTCATTACAATACTGTCCCTACTGTCCCGTTACGTGCAAAGTCTCCGTGTAAGCCTCCGCACACATCTCCTTTTTATTACACTCCTACAAGCAAAGCTGGTTCACTGGCTAGATCGTGCCCTGCAGAATCCCCCACGTGACAGCCAGCGCAAGGAAATCCCGCGTTAACACGGCCGAGTCACGACCCACGAGGGCCTCGGAAAACCAACACCGACCCAGTCCCGGCCACGCAGCCCCCGCCGCGCCTCGGCTACCAGAGGCGAGGAGGTGCCCCCTCTCACCTCAGCCCCGCGGCTTGCCGGTAAGCGAGACCGGGACGTTACCCACCGCCCTGGAAAAGAGGTTTCTCAGTCCACGGCGGTAC